GAACACATTGCGCTGTGTCCTGGTTGGGAAATGTGTAATTTCAAGCCCAGTCTAAAGTAAGGAGTTGTTGTTTTTTTTCTATTTAAAACTGTACATTGCTGATGTTTTTGCAGAGATGTTACATGTATGTATGGCCTACGTTTGGATTGATGCTAAGAGTTTAAGACTGTATTTGTATGCATTTTAGAAGGACTCTTTATCGGTGAGGTCACCACATCATGGTCCAGTTTGAATTTTCGACGTGGGACCATTATCCTGATACTAATAAGGAGCTTAAACTGTCTCCATCAGCACCCCAGAGGATCACTCAAATCTGACAACACAACAAGTACTCAAAGAATTGACTGTGCCTGGTTTCAATTTAGAGGAAACAATGATTATGTAAAAGGCAAAGGGATGTATTGCAAGGCCTTATGCACATTCTGAAATCAGAGGGGATGAATCCTGCCATTCACTTTCCCTTCATCAACTCCCAGAGAAGACAGAAATGTATTTCTGTTGTTTTTTTCCAAATCAGTGTGGAAACTCTCACAAATGTAAAGGGTGAAGCTAGTTGCTGTGAAAAAAATGTTTATTTTTGCATCTTACAGTCTTAAGACCAATCAGAGAAGGCCAGAAAACAAAAGAGTGCCGATTCAAATTGACCTCGAAAAAGTGTAGCATGCTTTAAAGTGTGTAAGTGAGTTTTTTTTCTTCTTCTATTATTGTTTAATGTGCAGAGATAATTAAAGTAAGCCAATTGTAGGTTGTCTTCCTGAATAGTGGTGAAGTACTCAGGTTATTTTCACAAGCTGCATTTCCATTACACTTCGAATTGCGCAAACTGAAATTACGAATTGAAAATACGCCCTGCAAACATGTCCTTGTGGGGCCCATGCTGGCTTTTTGCGGGCACAGTGGGACAATCCTACAATCTTACGTTGCTTTGCGTGCGCTTTCTTATTTTTTATTTTTTTTTGTACTTTTGTGTATTTAAATTTTTTTAGCTATATGTAGCTGTATTAACCTGAATTGAATTTTTTTCAATTTTGTATTTAATAAATCCATTGATTTGAAATTCCTTTGACTACTGGACATTTTTGAAAATATAGACATTAGTTATGTGGTGACTGCATCCATTTCAGATGTATAATAACTGTTTTTCCCAAAGACTTAAGTTATAGTAGCTGAAACGTATTTAAAGTGTAACAGATGTATTGTTGTTTATTAATAGTGTGGGCCCTGTGTTGGCCTAGTGAGGGCTTCCTGGGGGCTAAGTGAGGGCTGCCCATGTAGGGCCTGCGCTAAGGGGCCAACGTTTTGCCAATGAGCAAATTCTCGTTGGCAGCCCGCTGGGGGCCCTTAGGCTAGCCCTAAGTGGGCCCGTAAAGGGCCAGTGCAGGCTTGTTTGCAGGGGCTGTAGGCCTACACTTCCGCATTTTCAAATATATTCATAAATACAATTTATTCGTAAATATTTGACTGCTGAAACATTTCTGGCTATATGTAGCTGTATTAACCTGAATTGAATGTTTTCTATTTTGTATTTAATAAATTGATTTGAAATCCCTTTGACTACTGTACATTTTTGACAATACAGACATTAGTTATGTGGTGACTGCATCCATTTCAGATGTATAATAACTGTTTTTCCCAAAGTATTAAAGTGAAACAGATGTATTGTAGATTAATAGTGCGGGCCCTGTGTGGGCCTAGTGAGGGCTTCCTGGGGGCTAAGTGAGGGCTGCCCATGTAGGGCCTGCGCTAAGGGGCCAACGTTTTGCCAATGAGCAAATTCTCGTTGGCAGCCCGCTGGGGGCCCTTAGGCTAGCCCTAAGTGGGCCCGTAAAGGACCAGTGCAGACTTGTTTGCAGGGGCTGTAGGCCTACACTTCCGAATTTCCAAATATATTCATAAATACAATTTATTCGTAAATATTTGACTGCTGAATGCTGAGATTGACTAATAAAAATGTAGTATTCCAGTGAGCTGTGTAATAAAGTATTTTACATAACAGTTTGGTCCGCGAATCTGAATGAACGAGAGGCACAGCAGATATTTCTCCAGTAACATTATAGACTTTTCAACGATTGTATCTCTTTCTAGTGTGGGTAAACTCAGATCTTGTCATCATAAAGTTGTTTCTTTATATAAAATTATATTAATTTTATTGAGTACAGAAATTAATAGCTATGATCAGTCGACTATGCATAATGTATATGTTGTCAGTTGAACTTATACACATTAGGCTAAATGTGCTTTATATATTAATACTTAGTACAGTTAACTCAAAATAATAATAATAGTAAATCTGTCAAACATAGGCTGTGTTTTTGTGTGAAGTGAACATTAATTTTTTTTTACGTCATGTTGACATTTCTTAATATTTGTGTACACTATAAACTTTTGTGTCATGGATGAGTGTATAGTGGTGAATGGGAAACTACAACTATTTGTTGATTTTTTAAAAATTGTTTCCACAGCTTTCCAAAATAGGAAAAAGAAAAATACACAAATTTATTTTGAGGAAAAAAGATGTCCAATTTACAGTCACTCTCTGGTAATATAACACATAGTGCATAAATATCTTAATACTTAAGTCTTAAAAAAATGTACATTTAAACTTAATAATCTTAATACATTTTATTGTAAA